CATTAATAGTCAGAATGCAGCACACTTAAGCTTTCACACATAAAGAAAAGTCTACCCAGGGAACATTTTTGGTGCTAATAACTGCATGGGAGACTCCGGCCTCAACTATCTATTTTCTCTGTGTTGTGCATTTACTATTGACCGATAAGGTGTCCTTAGTTGGCGGACTTTCTTATGATGTGTTGGTACCATTGTATCTTTTGCTTAGTTCATCAGATCAATTATTTGCCTACTTCAACTGAAGGGAGTGGTACTGCTCTTAACAAATAACACTTAAGGTACTGCCATTTCCTAATCGTCCTTCATTAAACCAATAAAAAAAAAAATGGCACTATGGACCACACTTTTCAGAGCGTTGAATCTACCACAAGATATATGCAAAACCAACTGTAATATATAGTTATTAAGGTAAGATGACTTGCTTGTGATGTAAGAGGACACCAGAGACCCCATCTTCGCCTCTGAAAAGAAAAAGGAACCAAAAAGAATGAAAATCAACTTGAAGCCATAATCATTTATGGAAAAGACGGCACATATTTCTTCTTACACGAATGGCTCATTCACATGACCCCCTGACATATGTGAAGTCCCACCCATTGAATTCTGCATGACATAAAGGTGATAAACATATCTTCCCTCTGCTCTTCTATATAATGTACATGAAGTAATTCAGTGTCAACTCACCGCCCATGTGAAAAGGAGGCTGACTTTTGCCCTTTCCTTTCCAGTGTTCACCAACTACAACAAAAAATGTACGTCATAAGGTTTTCCTCAGATTTTGCTTGAAAGAGAGTGATGCTCATACCATTTCTGATATATAATATACGAATATGTAGATGTTCATTATCTAACTTGCTTTAGCCATCAGACAACTATAACAAGAGTAAGTAAATAGCGTTCCTAGATGGATGGAATCTCCAACCAAATAATACATAAACTTTTGGTCTGAGCTACAACATCAAGCCCATGGCAAGTTCATGTACATTGGCACTTTGATTACCTACTAATTTAAGGCAAAAGCATCACTACAGATCCCTACATGTGGAATGTGCATATATCCAGTTTTATGTCACATGCTATCACAGAAGCGGGTACCAACCCAATGTGAATAGGCACTAGATGAGCGAATTACTTACAGTATATACAAAAACAGCTGCTGGAAGACTACTATCTCGATAATTGTTTGGTATAAAGGGAGATATTTGTCGGCATGAAATCTTTAACTCTGGATCAGGCTCACCTACAAACAGAAGAATCATTACAAGGGATACACTGAGAGAAATAAGCTAGCTTTAATGACAAAGTCCTGCCGGTTTCTACCATCATATACAGTCCAAGCCCGAGGAAATAGAGCATGATAAGTTGAATGCTGGCCATTCAGATTCCAGCCCCATGAAGAAAGACCTTTATCACGCGATTTTCTGAGACCATAAAACCAATCTAAGGTACGTGAATTAAGAAAAAATCTAATCACTGAATTACAGGATATTTATAAAACAGATTTTTACCCTAAACTTCCATGCTGTCCTGGAGACAAAACTGATGCATACTTTTTGTGCCCACCATCTCGAGAAATAAAAATCTGCAAAGAATGGGCCCAACGAAATGTAATAAGAAACACAAGTGTCAAAAATCTTAGATAACATATAATGAAAAACTTAGCACACACTTTACAAACAAGAAAATATCTATTGTAGCAGTAAAATTAGCAAAAGCGTAAATGACGATCAAAACATGGGTAACCACAGAAGAACACTTACAGAAAACTGATTAGACATCATAGGTGATGGATCACAAGTTCCAGGAGTGATTTGCCACTGCTTAAACTCACCCCTGAAGCCCCTAGATATGCTTCCACTTCTGCAATTACCAGCAGCATTGGTCAAACATAATTACGAAATCATAGCCAATATAACCAAAAATCAGAGGCTGGTACGTACCCCATTCCTCCGAGTGGAACACCTTGAGATGCAGATGGTTTGCAGTTCTCTTTCGTGAAGGGATCGATAGGTGCTTTCTGTAGTAATCAAAAGTTAAATCTCTACAACAAAGACCAAAACTTTGCACCATAAATATGTAAATCAAGAAACTCTATTGTCAAGGGAGTTACCCTTCCATGGGAGGCCTCTTCTCTGACATACGACCATAATCGTATCCCTAAGCGTACCTGTAGTTCCGAAAATAAGAAGTAAAGAAACACCCCTACGACATTTAGTAAACTCCAAAATAAACCAAATTCGAGTTTGGCATCAAAGAAAATACAAGCATACAACCACAAAATGAAGGAAATCAGTTTACCATTTTAATGGCTTCCCTAAAAGTAATAGTGAATTCTTTAAGGATATTGGCATGGCAGTTTAATCTCCTCCTCCATGCGTGTTGTGGCGGAGCAGCACTATCAAAATCGAGCTATGGATACATCAAGACAATATAAGTCAAAGTCAAGTTCTCCAATCGTAATGATTCCAAAACTATAACTAAAAAATTGACTCACCAATTGTAAGGTACTTCTGCTGATGAATTCCTCAGTCGGCCATGAATGTTTTCTACGGTGAAACAAAGTTGCCCCCACCATATCTACTCAAATTCTCAACTCTACACTGATATGATCAAACAAAATTTGGTAGCAATAAGGATCAACACGAACTTGCATATGCTTCTTCACTTTGAAAAAGTCAGATTTTTTTTTATACCTTGTATTTACATAAAAGAACAAATGGTCTTTCTCAGGCAAGCATTTGCAGCGAATTAAAACGGCACCGTTTTCAGTCGCAACAATCTTCGAATCGTTGCTTAGTCCCCGATTCAAAACCTAAAGGAAGTGACAATGAAAACGCATCCCATTCAGACGAATCGGTAGAAGTGAAAAATTTGAATACAAAAGGCAAATCAAAACATACCAAAAAGTTTCGTAAATTCGATCCGTCACGTCGAATAGTCAAGAGAACAAAAATATGAGATTTTCTCAGAAGAAGGAGAAGAATTGGATTCGAATCTTCGAAAATTGGTTGTTGATGGTATTGGTGGAAAGGAATCTATTTTGATGGAGCAAACTGCTGACGTGGCGGCGGCGTGGCGAGCGGAGGATCAACCGTCAGAGAAAAGCTTCTCGTACGGTGGCAAGTGGTTTTAAAGTCTGGCTTTTGATTTGCGTGCGTAGTGACGAAGACAAAGAGAGAGAAGAGAAGAGACTAATCTTGCGTTGACGTTTTTACATTTTAGTCCTTTTATTTTTGTCAAAAGTGTATCTTAACCCTTTTTTAATCTAAACAGAAACATGTTTAAAGACCACTTACATTATTAATTTGGGGAATCTTTTACCGACCACATCTGGATAATCGGTTTTGATTTGGAAATCACTTGTCTAGTTTATTTATTGAATTTTTGATTTAATTATGCTATATTGTAATTTATAAACATATTAACAACTAGTAATATAATGGAACTAATTAAAGAGATTATCCAGATTAGTTGCACTGTATTAGTATACAGTAAAACCTCTATAAATTAATAATGTTGGGACCAAGAAATTTTATTAACTTAGAGAGGTATTAATTTATCGATAAATTAATAATTATTAATTTATAGAGAGATTTGACTAATTTTGTAATTTCTTAAAAAAACTTTCTATCTAAAAATAAAAAATTTCTTTATAAATAATATCTTTTAAAAACTAATTACAACTAGAGAAACACTTATTAAGTTTACAAAACAACATAAACTTTTTTCGAATAATAGAGTCATATTTCATCAAAAAAATTTTATATAATATTTTAAATATATATCATAGTAATTCATATATAACATATATAAATTTATATAATGTATATATATTGATAAGTTAATACAATTATTAATTTATGATATAGATGGGACCATATGTTTACATGAGATTTTCAAAAAAATTATTATCTTATTAATTTATCGATTTATGTCATATTTTACACTGGTCCCAACTCGGGACCGGAAGAATTTATTAATTTAGAGAGGTTATTAATTTATAGAGTATTAATTTATGGAGGTTTTACTGTACTTGTCTTTTTCACTAACGTATCGGTACGGTTTTACATTTTTTCTTTTAAAAAATGTGTGTCACTGTCTTAAGACAATTAGTTGCTGAATTAGATTAAAAACAAAACTATGATAACGTATTAAAATAAACAAACTATATCATACTCAAATGCCATTTTGTAGTAATAAACAATATATTATCAAAATTGCAAAATAATTTGAAATGCCAAACATACAAGCTCATGTCTAAAAACTTTTTAATTTACAATTGTTAAGTAAATTAATATAAGAAAACTAATTAAGAGTTGGAGATCAGTTGTATTTTTCCTGAACACTTATTTTTTTTAGGAAAATGTCTTTTTCCTGAACCTATGGCCGTGGTTTACAATGTTTTTTTTTTTTTAATTGTGACACTACATTTATGCTGTTGGTAAGATTAAGACAATCAGTTATTGAAATACATAAGAAAATAATTAGCTGAGAAGTAACGGATCCATGCTTATTTAAATTTTCGATATTATGCTCTTCGACCCAAGACATTGAAGATTTCAGTCCAAATTTCTTCCGTTTATACCTTCACGCGCTATAATCGAACAGCCCAATTTATAACGCGTTACATTGGAAAAAGAAGAAAATTTCTCTTTATTATCTCCTCTCGAGATATTAAACAGTGACTTTATTATCTCTCTCTGGAAACTTTAAGCCTCGTCGTCTTCTTCCTTTGTTTCGAGGACCGAGTTTGCTCCGGTGAGATTGCTAATCGGCGTCGCCTCATATCACAAGTAACTCGGTATCCCGTAGACCCGGATTCGAAGAGGCGAACTGTCACTTTCATTCTCTTCCAAAACCAATTGATTTTTCCTTAATTCGTTTAGATCTCTCTGTTTTAACTTCTGCTTTCATTTTTTTCGCTATTACGATTTTGTTTTCTATTGTTAGGCTTTCGTCCTCAAATTTCCTTATACACATCCTTAGATCTGCATGTATCTTCGCCTCTTTGACGTAGATCCACTGTTAGGCATCCATAATTTTATTTGGAGCTTCATACATAAATTGCATGTCATCATCTTCCGTTTATTGATCTATATTTCTAATAAATTGGCTTCTCTGTTTTGCAGGAAAATGGCAGATATTGATCTTCCTTCTAGGCTTTTTACAGACATAGAAGAACCTGCCGGTGATCGTGTTAACATGTACTTTAAGCTTAATACCATCAAAGCCGTTCTAAAGGCCCTGACCCCCAAGGAGATCGAAACCATTCGACCTTGCTTTGGGAAAATCTTGGATCTTTACTCAAAGCCGGTGTTCTCCGGGAAGTTGGCCCACTTTCTATTAACCCGCCAGTTGAGTGTGGTCAAACGCCATGAAATATGGTTTGTATTCGCCGGAATACCGATCAGATTCTCGTTACGGGAATTTGGTCTAGTTACTGGTCTTAACTACAACCCTCTTCCCCCTCTCGAAAGGTCTCTGATTAGGCCACCTCCCGGTGTGACGCCTTACTTGTTTACCCTTTTCGGTGGGGAAAATTATTTCATCGGCGAGATGTTGTTGTCGAAGCTGCAGAAATCTAAGGCTTTAACCAGCGAATTGCGGGTTAAGTATGCATGCTTGTTGCTGATAGATGGATTTCTTGGTCGGCGCTCGTTCCACATGATGATTCCGAGGGAGCATGTTGAGATGATTCGGGATTTGATGTATTTTTGAAATATCCTTGTGGTCGGTACAGTTTTGATATGACGATGCAATGTATTAAGTCTAGATCTTTACTTCAATTGGCTCAGGCCACTGTTGTCATCCAAGGTTTTATACACGCTTTGGTCCTTGTATTTGTGGAGGCTATTCCGGCCGTTCTTTCAGTAGGTTGTGATAGAACCGAACCGGAATCCGACGATGAAGATATGTTCCGTGTAATTTCTTTGAATTTAGATAAAGTGTGGGAATTGGATGGAGAAGATCAGGTATATTAGACCTCTACGTGTTTATATAAATATCCATTCAGTTTTTGTCATGCGTCATTTGTTTAGATATACGGCTACATCCCTTTTTAACGTCTATTAACTACTGTTATAGGTCGATGTTCTGTCTATCATACCTTCGGCTGATGTTGTCACTAGGGTGGAATATTGCGGTTGGGTTGATGAGGTAAGTGACCCCAGTGTTCAAGTATTGTTAAAGCGCCTTGAAGAAGGTGTCAAGTTCAGCCGTCAGATGTTTGTTGGTGGTATTAGAGGTTGGGGTCAATGATTCGAGGGACAACTTTCCGCTGCACCCGTTGACTTTCATTAGAAACCCAACGAGGGTTGTGTATTTTATTACAATCTACCTATGTTTTCTTTTGGATTATTCCTCTATCCTCCTTTATTTTGAACCATTGTTCTACCAGTCTTTCTTCTTCTGAACTAGTAGTATCTGTATTTTTGTTTCAATCTGTTGGTTATACCTTCTAACCTTTATGGCTCTACGTTTTAACTTTTCCCGCGATATACATGTTCATTCATTAGCTATAGATATCTACATTTATAAATACATGTATATCTAGTTATGTACAACTACATATTCAATGAGTTTTACTCCCGTTGTTAAATATGTAGACGTCTATATTAAAAGGTGTATGTCTAAGCAGCTCTTATGTTGGACATGCGCATGTGGGGCGCGTAAGGGTCAGGTATTTGACAAGCATTTAATATGTGTCAGTTCAATTGTACTTTTGTGTCAGAAGTCAAACCCACGCGCATACGTTTTACGCTTCCTGGTTATTTTGTAAATAACTTCTAAAGGTGACCCTTTTCTAGCTTTTGATAATACCTCGTCGCCGACAACTTCTTATAATACCTCTGCACTAATTTGTGTTCCCATTATTACCTCTGCACAAATTCACTCAAAAGTTTTTGGTATCAATATTAAGTATTTATACTATTTTCGTAAATTTTGACAAAAATTACAGAGAATATAAAGAACTAGTATTCTTCCCGTACTACGTACGGGTTAAGAATGAGAAATATTTGTTAAACCAATGTTCAATAGCTTTTTACCAATGTATTAACAATACATTGATTTATGTTTAAATTTAGATTTATGCTTCGTAAAACAATGAATAAATATTTTTAGCTAAACTACCTAAAGGCCATACGACCCAAAAAAAACTTCTTATGATTGATAACTGAAAATATTGGATTTAGAGACATAAAATTTGTGTTCACTAATGCTCTTATTGATGTCATGTAATTGCAACTCAGCAAGTTTTGAAAAGAATTGTTCCTTTTAATAAACAAACTAAAAAATGCAAAAAGAATGAAAATTACAGTACAATTTTCTTTCAACTAAATATCTTTTTTTTGGCAAAACAAATATTTTATATCTTTTATGAGTTTTTGACTTTGCTTATTGTCATTCCTTGCTTCGACCCTTGTTTCTTCAACTTCTTATCCGGCCATGCTTGCTATTGTTCATTTGGGCTTCTCTCGCTTCCACTTATTCTCACGAATTTCTCGTTTTATAACACATTGGCAAAAAACACTTACGTAAACAAATTTTACTATTTGTCAACTAAGAATATTGATAAGTTGTTGTTGCTGGTCACCACTTTTCGCAAAAAAAAACTCTTCTATCTGCAATTTACAATAAACAAACGTTTTCTAATTAATGATTTTGACATTATATGTACTGAAATAACAAACGAATATGTATGAGAGAATATTTATGAAATATAGCTTAACTCATGATCTGAATGTCCCAAAACAACAAATATTCTTAAACTCCATATTTGATGATGAAATCTAGTTTATGACAATTGTCAATCTTTTGACATTGTTCTCGACTACCTTCAGAAAATGGAACAGAAGATCTTTGATTTTGATAGCAGACTAAAAGTTAATAAAAAAAAATGAAAATTACCGACAGGGTATATAGTTGGAGCCTTGGAAGCTATAAAATCTGTCTTGAGCTTGACTTTAACCATAAATTATCAAAATTTTATTGGCACGCCTTCACAAAATATAAACTAAAATCAAGATACGATATATGAGGAAGATGAAGATAAATTACCTTGCATCAGAAGTCAGAACAAAAAGATGGTGGTTTCTTTCAAACTTTTGTGAAGCGACAGATGAGTTAGTTTAGGGTACGTCAAATCTTATAGAGACATAATTGTGGGGCCGATTGGTAACGGCGGTTACTTTTGACTGTAGAGATTTTCGCTGTCAGGACTGTGACTGTAGAAACTTTGACTGTAGAGACTTTGGCTGTAGAGACTTTAGCTGTTAAAATCTGATTGGTAACGAAAAAAAACTGTTGAAACTGTAACTATTATTTTTGTTATTATTAAATATTTTTTATAATAAGAAATTATGATAAAAATGAATTCATTTGACAAAATAATGGTAAAAATAAAATTTTTTAATGATAAAAAGTTTTTAAAAGTAAAAAAATTACTAATAAATGAATATAGAAATATTCTCATATTAAATATTCCTTATTTTAAAACATTCAAATTGGATCTCAAAATAACAGAAAAAATAAAATTAGAATTAATCAATAGAAATTATTCAATAATAAAATAGGAATAGTCTTAAAATTAGTTTTTAAATTAGATGGGGAAAGAAGAAAAAGAAAAGTTTTGATTTTATTATTCATTATCAAGTTAAAGTCACGTTTAGGAGGCTTTAGAAAAAAAACTGAAAAGAAGAGTAAATTGAGTGTGAGAGACTTTAAAGGCTTTAAAAATTAATAAAGTCTTAAAAGTTTGATTGGTAAAAAATTGACTTTGAGAACTTTTAAATCTTGTAAAGTCTTTAAAGTCTCTTGCCAATCAGGCCCTGTATATGGTGAAATAATTAATTAAAATAGGAGTCAGACTCTACTCGAGACAAATGCTTTATATAGAGGAGATGATATTGTTTAATCGGAAAAAACTGTAGAGTAAGTGGTTAGTTTTATTATGATCGTGGGAAGGTGGGGAGATGAATAACTGGAAAAAACTGCTAGAATTTTTCTCTCTTACGTTTTGTTTAAAATTAATTATTTTTTAATTATAAAACAAAATCTATGTGGCAAGTTTTTATTGGTTAGGTGACTTGTGCTTTATAATATAAAGGATAAGAAAGACCAAAAACTACAAAACTCACCAAAAATTATAACACAACACAAACACAAAATGGAAAATTTAACATTTACACCAAAAAAAAAACATAAAACGGGAAGAAAGTACTAGCGAAAACCCCACAACACAAAGACCGACTACATTTTAATAATGTTTTATTAAAATATATATCATACTCAAATGCCAAACTATGTAGTAATAAAAAGTAAAAGAAATTTAAAATAACTTAACATAGTTACATTTTGTGGTTTATATATTCTTAGGAGGGGGTATTGAACTAAAGATTTTAATGGAATCGAATTAAATGGAATTAATGGCATAAACAATAGATTTTGAAGGATCGTAAAAGATTAAAATCTTTCTCTTTAATTCTAACAGTTATATTTTCTAAATATTTTTATAGAATAGAATAGAATTTGTTCCCACTACGTAAGGGAAATCAAAGGAAGAGAAGAAAAGAGTTTAATGGTTGTAAGTCTGTGACTGATCACGCTTCTTCCATCCAATTGTTGAATACTCTCTCTCTCTCTCTCTTCCACCCTTTGTTTAGCCTCTCACGATCGCTTCACGATCTGCTGCCTCACTGCGTTTCATGACTTACTGCCGCCGGCCGCCGCTGCCGGAGATAGGATTATAATGATGGCGTAAAGGGTTGATGAGAGAGAGAGAGGAGGGATTGAGATCTGTTGGTTTTTGAAATGCTAGCGAAAAATCGATGTCGGAATGTGGTCACACTACTCCGTCTTCTTGCCGTTCTCCTTGTTACCGTCACGGCCGGTCTACAGCCACGGCCAGTAGTATAATGTTAATTATACATTCCTTCAAAATCTCAACTTAAAAGCTGAGAATTTATCCTTCACAATTAACATTAATTTTTCTATTAAATTCCTATCAAATCATTTTTTCATACAAAACTACATAACATTGAATAACAGTAGAATTTAATAGAATTAAGAAATTAAGAAGTTAAATAACACTAGAATTTGAAAGAATTGATAAAATGTCTAATTGAATAACACTAGAATTGAACATTCTATTAAATTCTTCCAAATTCATTCAGTCAATACCCCCCCCTTAACATAGTTACCTTTTGAGGTTCCACATAAAAATAAGCTGTACTGTTTTAGTTGTGATTTTCTCTTAATCGAAAGCAACCAAGGAATAAAAAAAATATAATAAAAGCCACGGAGGCGCCGACGTAGCGAAAAGAAAAAGTACAAAAAAAGTCAAAAGTCGTTGCCGACGTTATCCACAAAAACGGTGGTGGTGCAGTTGGCTAACGCGTAGGTCCTCATCCTGAGTAATCCTGAGGTCGAGAGTTCGAATCATTTTCACCCATTTTACTTACATTCTCCTATTTCTTTTTTTTTTTTCCGAACAAATGATGTCACAATCTCAGAATCAATAAAGAAAATGGAAACAAATAATCATCATATGAACTTCGTCGTGCCACGTGGTCCCTCCATTGCCGTTACCTTCCGGTGAAATAACCAAACACTCCGCTTCCTTCCACTTAGAGCCGTAGAAGAGCTACTGCTTCATCAACCACAACCACAATCTCCTCAAATCTCTCTACCGATCGATGGAAGCAGCAGTGCCACGACTCGTCTATTGCGGACCGGAGCCAATTAGATTCTCCGTCTCCTCCCGCCGCTCCTTCGTCTCCGGTATTCCTCACCGTAGTAAACGCTCTCGCCGGATTCTAGCCGTCGCTACTGATCCTAAACCTACACAGACTAATCCACCCAAGTCCACCACCGTCAACGGATCTTCTTCTTCTACTACATCGTCTGCGTCAAAAGTAGTCAACAACAATGTTTCTACTGTACGATTCTACTTCTACTTCTTCCGATTTTGTTATGGTTGAATTCAGCAATTTCATAGAAAATTTAGGTTGGATTGTGTAAAATTATAACCTCGGAGTTTGGTTTATGGCAATGGTACAGAGAATTAACGATGTATCAAAAGAGATTAAAAGAGTGAGAGCTCAAATGGAAGAAGATGAACAGTTGTCTGTGTTGATGAGAGGACTTCGTGGCCAGAATTTGAAGGATTCGGTTTTCGCCGATGATAATATTCAGCTAAGGCTTGTCGAGGTAAAAACTCTTGGAAATTCAGCTAGATTTTGGTATTGTCTTTAGCATTGTAATATTTAATTTGGTCTTTGTTGGGATTTTTAGACTGGTGAAAGCAGTGAGTTCTTACCTTTGGTATATGATCCGGAGACCATTTCTGCCTACTGGGGGAAACGGCCTCGTGCTGTTGCTTCTCGAATTATCCAATTGCTTTCGGTCGCAGGAGGGTTTCTCTCGCGTATTGCTGGGGATGTAATAAACAAGAAAGTCAAAGAGGTAAATATTCTGTTTACTGCTTTTATCATAGATGGAAGCTAAGAGTGGAAAAGATAGGTACTTGTGGCTTGAAGATTCAGGGGTTATAACTCCTTTAGGTAGGATTCAGTGAATGAACACTAGAAATTTTTCAAGTCCTTTCTTCCTCGTTCCAAACAGAGCCCATGATGTGTATTTTTGCAAAGTCTATATGTGATCAACAGATAACTTTATTTAGTCCCTGATGCACTACATCGATAGATTTAGATGTTTGATTACCATCCAGTATACAGTTGCAGTACTTTGTTCAATTTTGGTATAAATATTTTTTTTCACGTTTCAACTCTTTTTTTTAGCTTACAATTATTTCATTTGCAGTTTTGAGTCTCATTTTTTTGTCTGTCATCATTTTCAGAATGAGGTTGCTAGGGCAATTGAATTGAGGGAAATTGTTACTTCTTTGGGTCCGGCGTACATTAAACTTGGGCAAGCTTTGAGTATTCGACCAGATATCTTGTCTCCCGCTGCAATGACAGAGCTACAGAAGCTGTGTGATAAGGTATAACTCAATTTTGCCATTCCCTTGATTTGTTGCCATATAAGCTTTCTTTCTACCGTAAGACTTTTCTGCCTTAGCAGAGCTAAATGTGGCTGTTTTCTGTTTGATTTCTTGTTCATATGAAGGTCCCTTCATATCCTGATGATGTAGCAATGGCTTTAATTGAGGAGGAGCTTGGGAAGCCATGGTACGACATTTATTCCGAGCTTTCCCCTTCCCCAATCGCTGCTGGTAAATCTCGACCATGCTATTAATATGCCCACCTTATCCTTTCCATAGATTTATATGTCAAATGATTTATTGTTATCCTGGTTTTTCAGCATCCCTGGGACAAGTGTACAAAGGAAGGCTAAAGGAAAATGGGGATCTAGTGGCAGTAAAAGTACAGAGGCCTTTCGTTCTTGAGACTGTGACTGTTGACTTGTTTGTAATACGGAATTTAGGTCTATTTCTGCGGAAGTTCCCTCAGGCAAGGTTTTGTCAACGGCTCAGCTTATGCTCTTCTGTAATTGTTCTCTTTCACCTCAATGACTTTCGATCTTCTTGTTCTCTTGGGAATTTTTGTCTAGGTGTCAGTAGATGTTGTTGGACTGGTTGATGAATGGGCTGCTCGCTTTTTTGAGGAGCTGGATTATGTTAACGAGGGAGAAAATGGAACATATTTTGCAGAAATGATGAAGAAAGATCTTCCACAAGTAGGCTTCATAACTTTTCTAATGGAAACTTCAGTTTGTTGTCTATATATGAGGCGTCTGGTCATAAAATTTGTATTTGACAAGTACCTATGTGGATTTACATCCGTGGAATGGTTCGTAATCATGCAATTATTGTTTCAGGTTATTGTACCTAAAACCTACCAAAAGTACACGTCAAGGAAGGTTCTTACAACCTCATGGATTGATGGCGAGAAACTGTCACAAAGTATTGAGAGTGATGTCGGTGAACTTGTGAATGTTGGTGTTATTTGTTACCTAAAGCAGGTAACTCTTCCTGCATACTTGTTACGGAGCATAATAAATGTGGTCCTAGCTTACTTACTTTCATTAAATCGTCCGCTTTGTTCAGCTTATTCTGCAATCATGCTAAATGACATAGATCTAGGCATGCATATGTTAAGTTTTTCTGAGATAGTTAACTCTTTACCATTATAAGTGATGGTACATATAATTCTTAGGTTGTTCCTATATAGCATGGCTAGTCAATGTTCCTAACAAAAGATTCACAGTCATATAGTGAGTATAATGTGATTTTGAGGCAGGGACCTGTACCATTGTAGTGTGCCTCAGGTTTACTCACTTCCTTGATTGATTTAATGTGTTGACCAGCAGTAGTCTGTATTGACTTTCTCTGTCCTATTTTCTAGTCATTCAGCTCGCACACTTTCTCCTGTTTTAGAAACAAGATGATGTGCATATATATTCTTGTTAACACTGTTACTGTTTTGTGCTTCAGTTGCTTGATACTGGGTTTTTCCATGCTGACCCTCATCCTGGAAATATGATCCGTACCCCAGACGGGAAACTAGCCATCCTCGATTTTGGTAATGATTGTAGTTCCAATTATTACACATTTAGTGAAAATTTATCTTTGAGTCTCACAGTCGCATTCGATGTGATATGAGAAATTTTTTTGTTGACATATTATACTTGTCTGTTCGCGTACAGGTCTTGTTACCAAGTTGACTGATGATCAGAAGTACGGAATGATTGAAGCCATTGCACACTTAATTCACCGAGATTATGATGCCATAGTAAAGGATTTTGTCAAACTTGGTTTCATCCCTGATGGGGTCAATCTAGCACCTATATTACCTGTCCTGGCCAAGGTTTTTGATCAGGCGCTCGAAGGTGGCGGAGCAAAAAACATCAACTTTCAAGAGTTGGCAGCAGATTTGGCGCAGATAACTTTTGACTATCCTTTCAGAATTCCCCCTTATTTCGCCCTTATAATTAGGGCAATTGGTGTGCTAGAAGGTATAGCTCTAGTGGGGAATCCTGAATTTGCTATTGTGGACGAGGCTTATCCGTATATCGCTCAGGTATTCTATATGAACTCTATTAGTGTTATTCAGTCCACTCATTCATTGTTTTATCTTACAAAATACTGATGGTTAACTAACGTCTTCATATGGTTACCTCAAAATTTAGCGGCTACTTACGGATGAATCACCTCGCCTGAGAGAGGCTTTACGCTACACAATATATGGGAAGACTGGCGTTTTTGATGCTGAAAGATTCATAGATGTGATGCAAGCCTTTGAGACTTTCATTACAGCAGCCAAAAGTGGAGGAGGGGAAGATATGAATGGAGGCATGGCGGAGCTGGCTCTTATGCAAAGTAAGACAAGCAGTTTGGTTCCTATGTTTCCAGCTAGTGCATCCCAACCGGACCAGCCAGTTCAAACGAGAGTCGCTTTGTCCTTTCTTCTTTCGGAGAAAGGGAACTTCTTCCGCGAATTTCTATTGGATGAGGTACTAATCAAGATCTAACCACCTTTTTCCGTCTTCTGAACTATTGCATAATGAATGATAAATCTGAACAATAACTATGTAGACAAGCTCATAGTTACCACATAATGAATAAAAAACATGCTTATTCATAACACCTTTGAGTTCTGAATTCTTTTTTGATTACTCAAAACAGATAGTAAAAGGCATCGATGCAATCACAAGAGAACAGCTGGTGCAAGCAATGGCGGTCTTCGGATTCAGAAACGCAACACCAATCTTCGGTATGTTACCACCAACATTGGGACCCTTCAGGCCTGCAGCACTGCTTCCATCCGTGACAGAAGAAGACAAGGTCATCTTGAACAATGTTCAGAAAGTAATCGAGTTCCTTACCTCAAAAAGCTCCATGTCGAATAATCCTGATCAGGTTAGATTCAAAAACCTCTCATAATTTGAGAAATCGATTTCTGGAGTACCAAGTTTTGAACTTATGTGTGGTCATCATCATAAAACAGGTTGTAGATGTATCTCAAGTGGTTCGGGAACTGCTTCCCGTGTTGCCTGGAATCACTGCGACAGTACTGCCTGAGATTTTGAGTCGGCTCGGGTCAAGAGTAATGGCGAGAATAGTCCGCGATGCGTTTTTGTGAATATTGGGTTGAGCTTTGTACAATTGTGCATATACGTTGCATTTTAAAGTTACGACAAAAGAAATATATAGCTGATTAAGTTGCATTAACACCTGTACTTGATGTAATAATTACACAGTTGCAATGGAACAATGACTTTGTCTTCCTAATGTGGTAGTGTTGGACATCAAAATTTAAATCACAGTATTCACATTTTTTATATCAGAAAATGTAGGATTTTAGTATTTTATTGACTGAAACATAAAATTCTAAATACAATGGTCGCATTACATAACAGGCTTATTTAAAATATGGGCTCCGGGAGCTGTTTTCAGTCACCATTAAATTTCTATAAGGCAAAAGAAAAGATGATACCAAAGCAATCAATACCTAGCGTTCTTCACGAAAATAGCGGCAAAGATTGATCTCCTGAAGCATACGATATGATTCGCTTTTTAAGCGGCGAAATGTAGTGAGCCCCGTGGAATGCAGCCGCTCTTAGAGCATTCAGCGGTCCGAAATCCACCGAGTACATCTTCTGGATTCCGTCTAAGACCGCCATCATTGCTATATTTGCAGGTTTTCTCTCTGATTCATATCGCTTGAGCAGATTTGACTACAATTAAAAGATTCAGGCAATCAATACAGAGGAAAGGAGAAAATAAACATGTGGTTTAAGACTTAGAATCCGAGCATATACCTCGCCTATATCGGTACCAAGAGCAATGCCTTCTGATATAGCTTTGGAGAGAGCACACGCATCTGCAAATCCTAGATTCACTCCTTGACCAGCCAACGGGTGAACAGTATGAGCTGAGTCACCAACAAGAGCCACACGCTTTGACACATAGTCTTTTGCGTGCCTTAAAGACAAAGGGAACATCATTCTTTCTGAAGAAAGCTTCACAACCTTGGGAGGAGTTTCAAACCTCTCTTTGGCAGATATGGTCGCATCTCCTGTAAGCCAAGAGAGACTATCCCGTGAACTTGTAGTCTCTGGATTTGGACCATATCCAGAATCCAGAGCGTCGTTTACAGCTTTGATGAAGTCATCCTCGTTCATCAATTTTCGATCTGATGCCTCTTTTGGGTCCATAGTCCATACTATGTTGCTAAACTTGTCACCAATGGGAAGAAGTGCGATTGGGCCATTGGGTAAAAACCGTTGCCATGCTGTGTAGTTTTCAACAGTATGCTCAACAGTACAAATTATAGCGTTTTGTGAGTAGTTCCATCCAGTCGTTTTGATCCCTGCCAACTCCCTCACTCGCGATTTAGACCCATCGGCGCCTACCTGCACAAAAATTGTTAGACATCCTAAAATTGATGAGATTCAGAAGTGGTTCCACTCAAATCTAGCAAACCGAGAACGAACACCTACCACCAGTTTTGCATAGACATGATTTCCATCACTTAGCTCCAGCTTAGCAAGGCGTCCTCGCATGAACAAGTCTGTTGAGGATGGTACTTCACCAAGACCTATCAACGAAGAGCTAGGTAGCATATCCATCGCGTTTAACCTTGCGGGATAAACAGTCTTCTGGAGATCTGATTCCTGCAAATATCACGCCTTCCCATTTAAAAAAACAGAAAACATGCCAAACTGATAACTCTATAAAGTCGGATTATCTGGTTAAAAAGTTGAAGAAGGATAGTAATTGGCTGTAGAACTAATTAGCGATTAGCACCGACTTCTCAAAATCATAGCAATCTTTCTAAATCCGTGCAGAGTGTTCAGATGAAGACCAGTCTAAGCAATATGGATAAACTTTCTGGAAGGTTGATCTTTTAGCTATGCTTCATTTGTTGGAAAATCAAATTTAAAGGTAGCTGGAGGTTTTGAACGAGTAAAAGTACTGTAGTGGATATGCAAAAGGTCAAGAGGCGAGTTACAAGTATTGGCTCAAATAACATATCCTTCTAAGAAAAACCTGATAGATTGCATCAGAATGATGAATAAAACTTGGACGGACCCAGGAAACCAAAATACCTGTACACAAGATAGCTGAGAACTCTGAAGAACTTTATTCTCCACTACACACCTGGTCATGTCAAGAATGAGTACACAGCTATTAACATCATCAAGGATGCAGATGTATATAGCAATATGCTTACCCCAAAACATCTTGATGTACATCATTAGCATTGTATCTTGTATATCCAAGTCCCGTATAGTCCCATACCTAAACACGAAACATGACAAATGACTTTGTTTTTCCGTGTAGCATATCATTGTCAGTATATAAGGATCTTTCATAGAGTAGATCACACCTAGATAAATCTGATTGTAGTTTTGCTTTTAAAGTTTTAACTTCAAACAAAGGAAGGGATACTTTATACCAACATGTAAAGAGCAACCGGCGGTAAAACATGTTCCACCAAAATTATAACCACAAACATTTGACAGAGAAAACCAATTCCTTAAGAGTTTTTCTTTGAAGAAATTAAAGATTGCAGACGCCATCATATACAAGCTTGGGAAAGAATGTATAAATTTAACAATCATTACCTGCATCTTATCAAAGTACGCATGTCGCTGTTCCTCAATGTATTTCCAGGCACCAATATCTGCATAATTCAAACAAAATACATGATTCCAAATGAATAATTAAACAGGACATCCATGGACTGAATCAGGACAAAGACTGAGCTCAAATATGGGTTCTAAGTGGCAAAATCAGTATATGAAGTTAAGCTTATGATACCATTTGGGAAATCTTCTGTTAGCCAATTCTAGAAAGTTCACACCATTTTGAAAGATTTATGAGCAGAAACTGTGGGAAGAAACGAGAAAGTCCACTACGTACCTTTGAGGAAGGATATTGTTGCAGGTGTGACTGTACTGACTCTGGGATCAGGTGGATGCCCTTTCTCTATGATATTTTTTCTCCCCAAAAGAGGATTATTGTCAATAATAGCAACATTCAAGTGCTTTGTCAATGGCTTGCTTGCTGAAAGAATAACAACCATACCATCAAACGAACAATTATTTATTTAGTTGGCAGAACATAAATTACTGGCTAATCAAGAAACATCAAGACTGGCAACAACTGCTTACCCAAAGAAGCAGCTAAAGCGATTCCAACCATTCCACCACCAACAATAGCAATGTCATGTTGTGGACCATCGTCAGTAGAATTCCTTATTGCATTACTCTCCTAAATCATTTAATAAACCACACTACATGACCACAGTGAGCACTGAGCAGAATTTTAGATACTACACTATAACAACAACATGTTAAAAATCCAAGTATCTTTCCTGATTCTTTCAAGACAAGATAAGCGAACTCACAAGGGCATAAGAAGGGATCTTACATTAGAACCTGAACTAGAAACTTCATGTGTCACAACAGTTGAACAAGTCCTCTGCAAAATCCTTGTTCCACAGACACTTGTCCTAAGATTCCTTGCAAGCACCCTGTCCTAGAGAAAAATTACATTAGACATAGCATCATGATAAAATCAACATTCTAAGCCTCAAAAATGAACAAAACACAAGTAATCAAACAACAAGAAACCCAATTTCCTATAAAGTTAAGTGATTGCTGAAAACTTGACAGACACCACAAACATGATGATCACCGACAAAAAAAGGTTGAGGCTTTAACAGTTGTAGCTTCTCAAAACTAGGAACAAAAAAAATTAAAAGCAACCCACCATCAATTGATTAGCAAAAGATAAAGAAAACAAGTCAAATTGATTACAAGGACAGTGGTTCAAATTAGAAAAACCAAGGATAAAAATTAAGGGAAATGGAGGATTAAGAGAGGCGAATATTGAACCTTTTCATGGTTGAGAGACAAAAATTGTGTTTCTCTGCCGCCGGCGTTAGATACTTTAATGGAAAGACGACGACGACGAACAAAGCCTACGTGAACAGAGTTCTTATTTGCAACGAAAGCAGACTAGATAAAACGATGCCGTTTCGTTTCAGCCGAGACGAGGATCAGACCGGTCGAACCGTAATTCGCGTCCGTTTATAAAATAACCCGGTTTTAATTGGTTCTGGCCTCTTCCCTTTAAATTCATGGTTAGCTATTATTCCGAGAATCAGACGGATTTTAACCGAGTTTTATTGGCTTTCTCAAGAAACCGGACCGGTTTACTGTTGAACCATATAAAAGCTGGTTTTCTCAAGGCATAATTTGCCAAATTTACTTACTAGAGGTAAACAGGAAACCATAATCAGTTAATCACTGCAAATGTCTAGATCTCATTCTTTCTTATTTTTTTAGATCTCATTCTTATGCATTAGGCTTCACTTGCTAGCGACTATACCGCAATGCTAAACCGAGTTGGTTGCAGTCCTGATGGAGGTCTTCTTGGTAAGCCATTTTATGATCTTGTGGGTGTATTTGTTGAGTCAACCACTCACAGCATTGTCTCAGGTGTTGCATATTGAAGCACAAGAAAACAGATACAAAAGAAGCAGAACAAATGTTTTTACATCACACTTAAAAGTAAAAAGGAATAAACCCATTCGAAAGGAAAACAGAATCATTCCAAATGTCTGAGCTATGTTACAAAAAGAATGATATAAAAAAATCAAAAACGATCGAATCGCATCCCCATCAGAGTTTGTATCCCTTTCTTCAATGTCTTTTCACGATTCACGACCAATCTCATGAAGAAGACCTGTGTAGGTTAGTATTATGTTCTCAAGTGATTAGCTAACTTGTTCTGTTTTTTTACCCTTTTTGGGTTTTTGTTTATCTTGTTTCCTTTTCTTTGATTCAAGACTGACCCAAGTATAACCTGTGGGGATTGCAAATGGGTCTTGTAATGTTTTGGACTTACTGCTTGTACCATCTTTGTTTGATCTAGACCGACGAAACCACGAGGACGATGAGTTACTGAACTCAGTTGTTGCAGCAGCTGGACTCTCATAGCCAGAAGCAGTCGGGCTCGAGAGAGGTGTCTTAAACTCATCTACAGGCTCAATTTCTTCAAACTTTGTGAATGTAACTAGCACTTTTATTGTAGGTACCACTGGAATAGCAACCTACATTTTACAAACAATCTCAATAAAAAAAAAACTCATCTTCAAGAACATCAAGATTAGCTTTTAACATTAAACGACGACATACCTTGACAGGAAATGTTCCAGAGGGAAGTTTTGTGGTAAGAAGTTCTCTGAGACGACGAATCGCTTTAACTTTGTTTGCAAGTATGTCAAGTAAAGGAAGAAGCTCTTCTGTTTGTAATGGGAAGTTTGGAGACAACCAAAGAACAGGACGTAACCCTTTCTTGTATTCGCTTTCGTGGTGTGTCTTACCAGAGACCGATGCTTTTGGTTTCCTATAATGCTCATTATCTACTGAGTGTCTTCCTGGTTTTATCTGATTAGACTCTCCCAATAGATTACTTACTTTCTCATTCACACAAAGAGAGCTTCTCGGAGGCGCGTATTGAATTTGCTTCTCTTGTTTAGTCTCTTTCTTTCTCCAACCTCCTAACCACCCTTTCTTCTCCGCTTTCTTGTTGGCTTGACTAAAATCTACGACCTCGATATGATCTTGCTGCTGATGAGGATCAATGAAACCATTCTCACCATTGACATTTGGGAAGTCCGGTAAATCTAGCTTAAGTGCAGCCTCTAGTTGCTTTTGCTCTTCATCTGTTAGAATATCGCACATATCATCATCGCCTCCTTCGACACCACCGTTTTCTTTATCACCCGATGAACCAGGAACCTTTCTAGACTTAATACTAACAACAACATTGTTCATCTCATAGACTTTAGCTTTCCAAGGACCAACCATCTCACTCTTCTCCTGTCTCCTCCAATTAGTCTGCGGAGATAGAACCGCTTGTGTCACATCAATCCCGGGTCTAAAGATATTACTCTTACACATTGCAGCCACTTCTTTCCTAACTTCTTCTTCTGATGGAACTCCACAAGCACCATCCAACGCATTCACCACTTCTTTATCCTTATGATTAACCATATAAAGCGATCCACGAGCAACTTCACCATCCTCTGACCCATCACCAAGAAACAAAATACTCTGATCAGACCGTTGAATCTTGAAACCATCAAAACCAGCCATAGTCATATCCGCTCTCAAATTCGATCCCACTTTCCAAACCTTATAAGTATCAGACGGCGCAACCTTAGATACAAAAGGCACAACAGAGCTTTCAAAATGAAAACTCATCTCCAAGTAAAAATCTTTCATCTTACTCATTGTAGCTATCAAACGAGGTAGTCTCCTACACCATTTAGCCCAAGCTAAAGGCTGATAATGCCGGACTATAATCATCGCAATCGCCTCTTGTCTACCGCAAACAGCTTCCTGCAACGCGTTCCAACCGTCCTCGTTTTGCAAAGTCCAGTCAGCTCCAGCAACCATCAGCATTTCTACTGATGTTGAATCACACAGCTTCACAGCTAAATGTAGCGGCGTGTCACGGCTTGGGACGTCTCTTCTATCAATCACAGCCGAAATGGCATCGGATTTTGCTTCCTCGGCTAATGAAGCTGCTTCTGTTTGAATCTCACAAGGATCTTTAGGCTTTGGAAGAGAAGACAGTATTGCTCTGAGACTAACATAGTCTTTAGAAGCAACAGCTCTGTGCACAGAGCTGTGTATGTACTTGGAAACATCAACGTTCTCCATTTGAGATCCCAAATCAGAATCTTCAGATCAAAATTCCTATGAAAACCAGTAAATGGATCAAAATCTCAACCTAAATTTCGATGGAGTACAAGTCAAACCACTGGAGAAACAGAGTTAAACCCTAATTAGGATTTTGGGAAGAGAAAATCAAGGGAATGAGAATTCGAAAAGTGGGTCTAAATCAAGAAATCGAAAGATCTAAGAAAGTTCTCACCTTTTTGTCTTTTCAACTTCTAACTTTCTCTGCAAGAAAGATAATGAATGACGTCTTACTCAATGTTCTCAAGCTTTTCTTTTGCAGAGCATTCACTTTAATCTTCTTCTTCTTCTTTTTCTCTTGTGTATTGTTGTTTTTGTCATAGGAGAGAAGTTGAAAGAGAGATTCTTGTGATCTAATTACAGATCAGAGACGCATGTGGGAGCGTGAAACAAAAAAAACACACAAGAGGGATTTAAGGGTAGTAAGAAAAAAAAAAATCAATCTCGAGATTTGTGAGTCACAGAAAATGAATAAAGAAAACAGCGAATTGAATCAAATATGAAAAGAAAATCAGATGAGAGAAAGGAAAGAAGAGGAATCAGTCGTGAAGATGCAATGTGTTTAGTGGGAGGGAAGCAAACAAAGCCAAAAATGACACATTGACATTGAAAATTTATGTCAATATTTAATATATATAAGTATCCTTTAAACATTTTTATATAAAATAGGATAAATAATATCTAACTGAAGAAATGATGAGTACTAAAAGAAAATTATGGAAAATATACTGCAAACATTATAATGAGAAATTAAAAAAAGTAGGAAAAGGTATATTAATTTCATTAAAAATCACAAATTATTTAAAAAAATCAATACAATAATAACACTAAGGATCTCTCCAGGCCTGACACATCAGCATTTTGGGCTCTTCTCATGTTGACACCTCATTAAAATCATTATCCAATAAAAACATTTCGATTAATACACATCAGCCTCCAGTTTGCCACATCAAATTTCTAGCATGCCACATCAGCTTTTTATAAAAAAAACACATCATTTAAAAAAGACAACCAATCAAATTAAAACAATTATACACACAATGATTTTAAATTTTTTGATAATGATAAATGAATTTCTAATTAATAATTAAATATCTACAAAAATGAAAAAAAAAAAAACTATCCTCTTTATTTTTTAAAAAGTTGTTTGACATCAAGTGGTTTTTAGAGGACAACATGCATGAAGTGAATTTAACAAGTAGTTTACGCCGCGTGTTGCTTTTGTAAATTAATTTTATTTTAATCTAAGTATTTATGGTAAAAATATAAAAGGTTCTTCAGATATTGTATTTTACCTTTGCTCGTATTTTAATTGTTTTTATTTTATTATTTTATATACTCATACACGAATAAATAATTTTTCTATTTTACTTTTACAAAAAAATGTACCGTATAGTTAATCTTTGTATTTGTTTGTTATTATTTTTATGTTTTTGAATATGTTTCATTTCTTACAAATGTTAGATTTGTTTTTATATTGTGATATATGTATATATGTTTCAGTGAATATTATATTCTAAAAACCTTAGATTATTTTTGTTAAAATTATTTGTGGTACACAAGCACAATTAGAATCATATTTTATTCATAAAATTTTACAATTGCTAAATTGGTTTACTTTACTTTTTTTATTTCAATTGAAGAAATTCTCAGCAGTAAAGAATATAACACTCTTATGATTGTAATCTCACACTTGGTATGTACTATTATCCCGTTTTATTACTTCAAGATTCAAGATGTATGGTCAAACTTGAATCTCTATGTTCTTCTTATACATGTATCTTGCTTCACTTGATCATCTGCATATAAAGCGCAAAGCTTTGTTAGTTTCTGTTCAAAAATGAAATCCACAAAAAAAAATGGTCAAATTATTCTATGTTCTAACCATAGAGATGTGTAGCCAAGTGAAGTTTGCAGTTGCAATTTGACTTGTTTTGGAATTATGCCTTTTTGTTGTTTGGAAATTTTGGTTGAAATATCACAAATGTTATTGATTAATTTGGTTATTATTAGTGATCTATTTTATAAGAGTATATATGATTCAGCATAGCAAAAAGTTGAGAATTAACTCTGTATTTGTGGTTTATGTTTTGAATGAAGATGATCTCACGCCGGCTCAAAAGCTTGATCTACTCTATTCCAAGAACATTTAATGGTAAATGTAAGTTAAGAGAAAGACAAGGAAAAAGATGGGATTCCCTTAAAATGCTAAGAACCATAGGATCGTCATTCTGTAACTGTTTATTTTGAAACATTCTAATTTTAAGTCACGAACCAAATTATATTAACCAATGTTTATGAATTGTTAAGCATATTTATTTTAAAAATCCGTAACAAAGTTTGGTCCATTTTTTTTATTTCTATATTTTCATGGAATTTTTGTAACTTTTGTTTAATTAACTTTGTCTAATAAGTTTCTCAAGAGAGATTGATGTCTCTTGTGGTCGACCGACTAATGGATTCCAATAGTAAAGTCACTGTAATAAACTTTATTATTTTTGCATGTTCTTTATGTTATCTTATATCCTGAATTTATGTGGATAACTTTGTTTGTATTTCTCATAGTAGAATAAAGATGAAGAGTATATCGTCAAGCTCTTAGACAAGTAAAACAGAATTGTAATTATATTGTTTATTGTAAACATATCCTTTTTTTTTTAGTTTGTTGTTAACAGATCGTATTTTTTCCTTAAATCTTTTTTATTTTTGATGTAATAATATTGCTTTGGTTTTGATTGTTCAAATAGAACAAATTTCAAAAAAATACCCGCAGCGTAGCGCGGGTTTCGACCTAGTTTCATTAAAAGTAAGATATATTAATTAGGAATTAGGAAAGTCTTAATACAATTGTTCAGATATACAAGGAGTAGGATAAATATTATCAGAAAAGAAAGTACAATGAAGATAACCAAATTTAGCTAATAAATGGGCTACTTTGTTACAAGTTCTCCTAGTAAAAATACAAAGTTAATTTCTTGAAACCGATTTGCCCAGAAGAGAATGCCTTCAATAGATGTATCATATATACGATCGTGAGATTCGTGACGATGTCCATAGGAACTATTTAATTATTTTCATGAAAATACAAGTACATTTTGGATTTTTAAAATAATACACAAACTTCGAATTTTATATTAAACACCAATGTAGTAAAATGTCCATAAAACATTTATTAAGTACTATAATTTTAATATATAAATAGAAAAGTTTCAAAAATAAATAAAAATAATTCTTTACAGTTTTAGATTGATAAAAACAAATTATATTCTCATAATAATATGTATATATTATTTTGTAGTTGTGAATAAATATCCAATATCCAGATCATATACTCAATGTATTACTTATTTAGGTTCTTAATATTTCAGTTATTAAATTGAATTTTACTTTATTTTCTTAAAGTAAAGATACGTTGTGAGAAAATTTAATTTCAAAAATCTTATAAACCGATTCTCTTCTAATATCAGTCTTAGTAATTAGTGTTCCAGACGATTTAAACTCTAATCGAATAATTTTTTACTTGACGTGAAACTCACCTTTATAGTAATAAAAATCCAAATATATGCTACACTTTGGTAAAACAAATATATATATTTTTGAAATTATTAACAAATTAGTTGCTTCACCAATTAGCCACTATGGTACATACATACTTTTAAAAGAAAGGAAAAGAAAAAAAACTAAATTTCTATTACAAGTACATAAATATCGCGTATTTACTACACCAACATAGTAAAAAGCAAAATCTGCCCATTTTTCTTGGCTTAATCATATATTAGCCAAGTCTATTAAATCCGTCACAAAGTAAACACAATTTCTATTATGATGTTTAAAATATTGTATTGACTACATTCTACTATGAAGTACCACAAGAGAGTGAAAATATCTCCATATTTTCAGACCATTGGACTAACAGGATTCATTATACTATGTAAGTGTTATCCATTCAAATGATATATTTGCGTGTTAATAGGGTTATAAAATTTTAACCTAGTTATATAGTACGTAAAAGAATTTAAATGATTAATCGGTTTACAATTGATCAGGACTGCCTCAATATTAGGCAATGTCCAAAGCTAGAAAAAGAATGGATTTTAGTTATTGTCGTTATGAGAAAAAAATCTTTAGTCAATAAATAAAGTTAAATATTTTTATCTCATTTGATAAATTTTTTAAAAATGGTATGAGTTTTATACAAATGGACATCTAGCACATACAAAAAAACTAGGTCTAAGTAAATAGAAAATGCCTCAATGTTAGGCGAAGCCCAAAGTTAGAAAAAGAATGGGCTCTAGTTATTGTCGTGGATTTATGAAAAGAATCATTAGTCAATATTAAAGAAACTAAATCATTTAAGCCCATTTGATAAATTTCAAAAAAAATAATACAAATGCATTCTTAGCACATACACAAAACTAGGACTAATTGGTTGGTAAATCACTCAATATTAGGCAAGTATCAAAACTAGAAAAAGAATGGATTCTAGTTATTATCGTAGATTCAGTGTTTTTAAACCCGACCCGGACAGTAAACCGGACTACCTTCTGGGTCACCGGGTCACTGGGTCAACCGGGTTCGACCACGGGTCAATTGATTAAAATTTTATTTAATATATTTAATATTTATAGAGATTATTTAGTTTTTATAAATAAAAAAATAAAAAATATTCTTAATATATTACAAAATATGAAGTCTAACAATAATAATAAAGTGATTCAAATTAAATTTTTAAACCTAACTTGAAAGTCTAAAACCGTAACAAATATTAAAATAGTATGAGATCGCGAATGACAGAAATAAACTAATAAAACATCGAAAATTCAAAAAAGCTAATCTCGGTTATTTCTCTCACCATTCCATTCATTCTTCTTAGACGACACTGTGAAGTTTCATTAAAATCTAAAACAACAAATGAGTCTAAAATCTAAAAAAAATTCTAAAAATGACTGAATAGAGTCTAAAACTCTATATTTTATTCCAAAATCAAATGATATTTTTAAAACTCATACCCAACCGGTTCAACCGGTTCACTGGGTCGCGGGTTAATGGCGGGTTTTTGTGGGTTTTTTCGGTTTTTAAAATGGCGGATATTAGCACTAAACCCAAACCGGAAAAGTGTTCGGGTCGTGGGTTAACCGGTCGGACCGGGCGGTTCGGGTCGGGCGTGAAAACACTGCGTAGATTTATAAAAAGAATATATAGTCAATACAAAATCAATTAAATAATTTGAACACATTTGATATATTAAACCGAAAAAAAACAAATGTATGGGCTTTATACAAATGCATTTGTAACACATATACAAACCTAGGTCTAGCTGGTCGATAAATTCGCATATTGTTATGTTAGTGGAGAATTTTCCGAATGAAAACGAGATGTTGAACCTATTCTTCAATTGATTGAAAACGAAATGATCATCGGAAATGATCTCAAACCATCAAGAACATTCCAAATAAGGAAAAAGCTTTCATGTTATGTTTTTTTAGATTAAAAATACTCCCTTTGTTTCAAAATATAAGATGTTTTAGACATTTTATTTTGTTTCATATTATAAGATGTTTTGCAAGTTTCTATGCAAATTTAAATACATTTGATCATTTGTGACCATTTATATTTTGCAGTATTTTTTATGATTGGTGAGATTTATTTTTATTAAATTCAATTCATATTTAATAAAAAACAAACTACCTAAATATGTGTGTTTTTACCTTAAACATCTTATAATTTGAAAAAGAGGGAATATATATTTCAGAGAGAAAAATAAATCTATGTTTCTACATGAGGGAACATTTTATAAAGCATATGTTTGCACAAAATGTAGTAGTCCAGATGGAGTAAGATTTAGAATCATGTTAAAATGAGACTGAACTTGGAGAAGTTTCAAGGAACTAGATTATCACATGTTAATAAGTAGCCCACTACCAATAAGACTATCTAACAATAGTCTCCATTTTTCCTTTGACAACTCGTTAAATTTGCTAAACATTGATATTAACGAGATATTCACCTTTATAGTAATAAAAATTCAAATATATACTAAAATTGTTAACAAATTAGTTGCTTCAGCAATTAGCTGCTATGGTACATAAATTACTTTTTAAAGAAAGGAAAAGAAAAAGAAAAAAAAAAAAAAACTAAACATCTATTACAAGTACATAAGTATCGCGTGTTCACTACACCAACACAAAGTTTATAAAATAAATTTGCAATGCCTTTAAGTAACTTTTTCAACTCATAAGTAAAATCTGGCTATTTTTCTTGGCTTGATCACCTATTGACAAAGTCTATTAAATCCATCATAAAGTGAACACAATATCTATTATGATGTTTGGACATTGGAGAAACCAGGATTCATACTTCGTAAGTGTTTTCCATTCAAATGATATATTTACGTGTTAATAGGGTTAGATAAATTTAACCTAGTTATATAGTACATAAAAAAATTTAAATGCTAATTGGTTCACAATTGATCAGGCATGCCTCAATGATAGACAAAGGGCAAATAATGGGTTTTAATTATTGTCGTGGATTTATGAGAAAAATCGTTAGGCAATATAAAAAAAAATTAAATAATTTGAGCCCATTTGATATTTAAAAAAAAAAAGTGTATGGGTTTATACAAATGGAAACTTAGCACATACAAAAAATTAGGTCTAAGTAGATGGTAAATGTCTCAATGTTAGAAAAAACCCAAAATTAAAAAAGAATGGGCGCTAGTTTTTGTTGTGGATTTATGAAAATAATCTTAGTCAATATAAAAGAAATTAAATAATTTGAACCTATTTGATAAATTAAAAAATAAATAATTGTATAGGTTTTGTACAAATGAACTTGTAGCACATACACAAAACTATGTCTAATTGGTCGGTAAATATCTCAATATTAGGCAAGGTCCAAAACTAGAAAACAAATATGGGTTTTAGTTATTATCGTGGATTTATGAAGAGAATTTTTAGTCAATATAAAATAAATAAAATAATTTGAACCTAAGAAAAAAAAAAGATGTATGGGTTGTATACAAATGCACTCCTAGCACATACACAAAACTAGGTTTAACTAGTCGATAAATTCGCATATCGTTATTGAAGAATCTTCGAAAAGAAACAAGATGTTGAAGCTATTCTTCAACTGATTGAAAGTGAAAAGATCATCGAAAGTGGTCTCAAAACACCAAGAAAAAATCCAAAAAAAGAAAATCTTTCATGTTACCTTTTTAGATTAAAATTAAGAGTATCTATAAGATATGACCATAGAAGACTATATAATTAAGTATCTAACTATGTTTTTTGTTTAATTAGGTGGCTAAGAGAGAGAACGGTGTTTATACGGTTTAGTCATTTTTCTTTTACATATTTAACTATTTGTCTTCTCCTTTCTTCTTCTATGAGATTTCTTCGACATTGTTTTCAGTGATTTTCCGGCGTTATCTCTGATTACCGTCTCTCCTCCAAATTCTCCTATTTTTACACCCTTACCTCCAATTCTTCTTAAATGGATTCATATTCAACTCTCATTTTTTTTTCATCACTTCCATCGTTATTATGAATTGCTTTTATATGCAACACACATAATCATCACCAAAAATTTATAAAAATAGTAAGTTGGAAAAAAGTACAGAGACATGGAAAGAAAAAAGAGTGTCTAAACGAGTTTGGGATGAACTAAATTTTAAATTAAAATTTGAGGATGAAAATTATGGTTTTGTAATTTAGGGTGAAGATGGAAAGAAATGAGAGAAAGAAGTGGGAAAAAGAGAAAAGAAAAGGTGACAAGATTAAATTGGGAGTTCGAGTTGTAGGTGTGAGGTAAGAATGGAGGAAGAAGAAAATTTGAGAGACGTGACGACGAAGGAGAATACTCAAGAAAGAAGAAGATTTTTTTTTGTTCACATCATTTATAAAAAGGATAACATAAAAGTTAACCATTGACACTTAAATTATCATGATAAATAAATATGATACTGTATAAGTTAACGATAGTAAATAAATTTTTAAAATAAATATTAATAAATAAGTTAGCTGATACCAATCATATAATAAATAATTTAACATGATAAATATAATCTTACCATATAATTGTTAATTTATCGTGATACAATATGATTTACATTGTTAAACAAATAAATAATCACGAATAATACAATCTTTTTATTACATTTGGTGATTAATAATGTTTTTGATGTTAGCTGAACAAAGTTTTTACTAAAAATTAGTACGATACACTAAGATTTACACTGTAAACAAAATAAATAATCACAAAATCAGTGTCTATCAATTAAATTATTATGATAATTTATAAGTTAATAGTAATAAATAAATTATTAGATTAAATAAACAAGTTAACATATAAGTTAGCTGATATCAGTCATATAATTACTGATTTAACCCGATAACTATAAGTTTACCACATAACTTATAAATTTATCGCGATAAATTTTGAATTACAGTACTAATCAAATAAATAACCACAAAAATCGATGTTTTCTTATTGATTCCGATGATGAAGAGTGTTCCCAACGATAGATGAACATTGTATATTTTTATGTTAGTTTTAAAAATGTTACCTCGTTATTTTTTCTGTTAGCGCACTTACATAATCGAGGATAATTTGCGCATTAATTGAGTTAGAGGAGAGATAACTAATAAAAAAAATAAAGAAGGTTACTTTTGTAATTTTTCAATCGTTTGGGTTTTTAATTAAAATAACCCTAAAATTAAAGAATATCTTTTGAAGAAAAACAACTCTTTGTTACTCCATGGGGAAACATGTTATAAAACATATATTTGCACAAAATGCAGTAGTCTAATGGAGTAATTAGTATTGTAAAATTTAGGATCATGTTAAAAAGAGATTGAATTTGGAAAAAGGTACTAGATCATCACATGTTAAGAAGTAGTTCACCACTAATACGATCAGTATCTACAGTCACCAGTACTATTCCATCGGCAATTTATTAAATCTGTTA